AACCAATAGAGTTCAGAACTGCAGTATTAAGACAAATATTCCTCTCTCCTACTGGCATTGACCCACAGGCCAGCTTTCAGATACAGAAAATAATATCCACAGTAAATGTTACAGATGTATTTCAGGAAACCATTCAGGTTCCTTTGTGTTTAATGAATCATTTAACTGTGTTTTTTTCAAGAAGGTTGCAGTGTCTTGACTGTAGATGCCTATGTCTGTTCTCCCTGGGAACTGCCCAGGGGCCACACTGCCTCCAAGATACACCTCACCACCACGTGGTCCCTTGCAAGAGTTTCCCAGCCTCCCTATGTGATCTGACTGCAGCTTTATATGAAATGTAGCAGGCACCATTGTTATATTTTTATGGCCTGTGAAACTGCAAACAGATGTGCCAAATGAGAGCCCAGTGTGCATCAGCTGGTGCTGAACGCTGTCTCGTACCAAGGCTGAGGGGGCTACATGTTGGTACCATTTCCAGCATAGTTGTATGAAGTTTCACATGCTCCATCTCAGCCTACTACTGGGGCCTATTCCCTCAAGCATAGTGCTGTGCTGAGATCTGTGCTACTACCAGGCCGGGAGGTTGCTTGGACCACTTGCCATGTAGACAACATGCATGATTAACCAAAACTCTACCAGGAGACCTGTCACAGTGCAAGGAGCTGAGCAACTTTCCTGCACTCCTGGGCTGGTGCCCCAACTGCTTGGATATCCTTGCTTTGACCCCATCTCAAACTTTCTGCAATAAAATCATATTCAAATTGCTGTACTCATGCTTCTTATGATACAAAGGCTATCTCAAAATGGTTCCTGTGCCCAACCAGCTGTGGGTGGCACCTCTGCCTGATTTGGGAGCCACCCTGCAGTGGTTTCCACATCTGGCTTGGGGTGCTGATGTGGGCTGGAGACAAGGCGAGACAGTGAGACCAGGGAGTGCAGCATCAGCTCTGAGGGGCGGGTGGTGGGGAGCAAGCACCAGGTTTCCAGGCAGTAGGGCAACACTGGGTTTGGGCCAGATGTGGGAGGACAGAGATGGTGGTCTGAATAGAGAGCACATGCATGGTGCCATTGGGTGCTACTGCTAACAGTGGGACTCTTCAGCATTGGGAAATATTAAAGAACAAAGGTGGTGGGTTTTTTGTCTGTTGAGGTTTTTTTTGTTTCGATACTTATGAAATATTTAACCATGAAATCTACATGGCTGCAAGATAAAATTTTAACATGCCAATAAAACAAAGGGACAGGGCATATTGCAGGATACTACCCCATGCTCAAATGAGCTGATTTTGTCTTAGCAATGCTACTAACTTTCTTTGCAACCTTCATAAACTCCTGTGCCTCAGTTTTCCCTCTTTAAGAAATATGGATGTTGGTAATATTCCCCCCCCCCATTTTGTAAAATCCTTTGAGGAGTTACAGCTGAAGCCATCGCCCTTTTTTAAAGTTTTAAT